CCCCCCCTGCCAACAACCCCCCCTCCTTACCCCGAGCCATAGACCCCTCCCTCACCCGCCCCGCCCGTACCGGCGTAGGCACCCGTGAGGGATGGGAGATAGGCCCCGCGTGCCCCTTTCCCGCACATTGGCTGCACCGACTCGGCTCGCTCCAAGGACCCACCCAGGCTGTAAATGGGGGTGGAGACAGGACATGGAGTCCCAAAGGACAGAATGCGTCTACGGAGGACAACCCCAATGGACAGAATGCTTCTGTGGAGGACAACTCGTTTGCTTGAAGCCCAACAGACAACAACAACGATAGAATGACAAGGATGGGTCTAAGGAGGGTCTGACAGTATGATCAGGAGAACACACGCGTTGCTACTCACGGTACGCGGAGCGAGATGTCTGCTGGCCCGCATGAACTGAGGGTCAAACATAGGAGATAGCACCAAGCCCCAACACAGTCATAAGAGAGGGATGCTTGCTGAGGGGAAGAGAAGAAACAGAATACTACTAGGGTTTAAAGGGTTTAAAAAATTAGATCGATAGACATAATTCTCTCTCAATGATTCAAGTTCTATCGCATTTCATTGCACCGCACCGCTAATCATCTCCTAGCAGTCCTAGGATAGACAATATGTTTCACATGTTATGTAGGGGAAAGGTGTGGGTAGAGGATGGGAGGGGTTAAAAAGTCAGACAAGGAAACGATCAGAAGGGGGGCTGCCGTACAGGGTTGGGTTGACGGACAAGGGGTGCTCCAAGATGGGATGGGTGTTACTAGCAGCTCCAGGGGACAATGGAGTCCTGGACCAGTAAGACAAACAACCACAGCCCTGGGAAACAATGACCAACAACTGCTGAGCTACGAGATGTATCAATGGGACACTGGGCCCGGTTTCCAGCAGGTGCCGCTCCCCACCAATAGATGGAGCAGCCCAACAATCAAGCCCTCAATCCTGGCGGTTCTCGTACCACCGCTGGGATAGAGGGCTGACACAAGGGCTTTGAAAAAAAAAACAAAAAAAAAAACAAGAAAGGGGTCATCTACCACAGGGCAAAATAAGATGAAATGATATGTGTTTGCATGATGCTACGTCCTCGACTCCGTCAGACGCCACACCCATCCACCTTTGGAGCAAGAGCTCAGTCTGATCTCCTCAGTGGTATGGCCCTGATCCACTGGCTGATCCTGGTTCACCACTTGCCGATCCTGGTCCTGATTCACTTACTTATGGTTGTCCTGATTCACTTGCTGAACCTGGTCCTGATCCTCTTGCTGAACCTGGTCTTGATCCTCTTGCCGATCGTGGTCCTTATCCCATGCTGATCTTGGTCCTGTTCCTGGTACAAATCCGCTTGCTGATCCTGGTCCCATCCAATCTTCTCCTTGGTATGGTTTTGATCCACTTCCAAATTAAGGTTTTTTTTTTTTTTTTCCGGTTAAAACAGGTCCTTATGGTCCTGGCTCCTTATCCATTCTGGGGAGCGTCAGTCCAGTTCCTATCCACCGGCAAGTCCAATTTTGGAATACATGGTGAACACCCTCACGCTTCCTTCCGTCTGGCCGAAGGAACCCTGACCAGCATTGATTGCTCCATATCCGTCCAATTTAAGGTTTAAATTTGTTTACAGTTCAAAAATTTGTAAAACGGTTCAAACAATGTTTTGAATTATCAGAATTCTGAGGTTGAATTGAATTTCTCAGTCAAAATCATCATAGCTGACATTCATGGCTCAATTACGATGCCTATCCAGGTTGAGACCCTCAATTTCATGATACTTCAGGAGCGAGATCCCACTAGCCATGTATGTGAATTAGTGTGACGGGTGTGGGACGGGTGTGGGACGGGTGGGGGACAGGTGGGTGGCAGCATGAAATAGGGAAAATAAACACAAAAAAAACATTTCATGACCAAACAAATGAAGAAAAAACTGCTAAAAAAGAAAAGAAAGTGCTCTTCTCACAGATGGTGTCTGCTCCAGGCGGGGTGTCAGGTGTCACGGTATGATTCACTGACCATGGCTGTGGCAGTCAAGACGACTGCATGTGAGGGGGCACACGGACCATATTCATTGACAATAGTCTGAGGCTTCCTTGAAATAGGCCGCAGTGCAAGCTGTTCGGTTGTTCTGACAGAAATTCTCTTTGGCAAAGGAGGGCAAGAGTAACTCCATACACCATTTGCTGTAGGTGAGGGGATCGAGCCCTCTCAGACACCTCCCAAATGACAATCAATTTCCAGCGATGAAGCCATTCGTCTGTACCTGCGCCGCGAGTTAACCGTGTGTGATTTCACGAACCAAAAAACTTGGGTTGTGATTTCACGCACGTTTGGGACAGCCACAGGACCCCAACAACAAAAACAAAAGAAAAACCTACCAGTGGGAGAGCAAAAGAAAACATCCTTTTCCCGGGCTTAATTCACAAAAACATGCTACTGCTGATTTCCTGCCAAGTCCACGATCCCTGACAGTCACACACCTTGAACACTAATCCACATACATCGGTAGGGGGATCTCGCTCCAGGAGGCTTACACTCTCATCATACCTGTCATAACAGAAGCTCAATAGCCAATAATCATGACAATTGATCATATAATCTAGAATAATAACTTCCATAATAATCTCAAATTGCCTGGGGTCGGTCCCCTGTGGATATATCTCAAGACCGGGTGCAGCCTTTTCAAGAAAAGAAGAAAAAGGAGAGAAAAAGAAGCACTTGTTCACAGATCAACACAATTGTACAATAGTTATACCATCTGAGGGCCTCGCCACACAGGCTGTCGAAATGTGCAAAACGAGAATGAACTTCCCGCTAGAACATGGCCAGATGCACCTGCCACATTTTTGTCGTTTTCACGTTTCGAAAGCCTGTGTGGCGAGGCCCTAAGACTTGTTCCTGGATGTATTGTGTTTGTGTCTGAATTATTGAATATATGACATCAAGGCGGAAAGGAGTGCGAGGTGCATGATTTCGTGGTTAACCCGGAGACATTGCGCCTTGTTTCGAGGTCTGCAAAATACAAAACTTTCGTCATTGACACAGCTATCGAGTCAGTGGAGAAGCAGCGCGGGAAGAAATTGGATAGAAGTATGTGCCAAAATCACTGACTTATCCTTTTTTGAAGTTTTTTTCCTTTTTTCCTTCTTTTAAACCACCACTACCTTTCACAGGCAAACTCGAAACGTTTTTTTTGTTTCTTTTGTTTTTTCGTTTATAAAACAAGGAAACAAGGTTTTGGGGTACCACCAATGGGCATAGCTCAGTTCGTACACCCACGAACTGTTGAAATACGGACCGAAGTTCGAATCCAGATACAATCTGATGACCAGAATAAAGTCATTCTGAATTACCTGGGGCCGGTCAGTTCAATGAGGATATCTCAAGGCTGTCGCCCTTTACAAAAAAAAAATAAGGTTTTGGGGTACTACTGTGGGTGATACGAGGCTATTACGAGCATCCCCCAGTAGTGCCCTTGCTCTGGCTCCAGTGTATTGGCGGGGAGCAGCACCTGCTGGAAACCGGGTCCAGCATCCCATCATTACACAGTTTACACTACTTTACAGTCATCATGAGCAATGCCTTAGAGTTGAAGGACAAGAGAAAGGGGGTTGCCATTTGCGCCTCTTCACCCTGCAACCAGAGAAAATCTGGCACCGAGCAAACCCATGTTGTGTAGCACCTCAACCCCCATACCACTGAAGATCCACCAAAGCCAAAGTCATGAGGGGGGAAAAGGGTCTGGAACTCTGAGAGCGGGCGCAGAGGGTTCAAGCCATCCATCCTCATCCAATTCTGGAAGAAAAGCTTCTGGTCCCTCTCGAGGGGTAGTCCCTGTCAATGCTTCACCTGCCGCCCTTCCCAACTCACGTCTGCCATCCATCCCCCTTGAAACGCACCCAGCCAGTCCTTGCAGAACTTTTGAATATTCTTCCAGATTTCTGTTTGTGAATTCCTTGACCCTTTTCAAAAAAAAAAAGAAGAAAAAAAGGTGTTGATATCAAGGAGATGCCGGGAGGGTCATTACAGTGCATATTGTTCTCTGTATCGTCCGACCAGGAGCGCTTCACACGCGCGCGATTGCACCTCGGCCCCGGCCGCTGCGCGTCACGGGTTGACGCGCCCCGCGGCCCGACCCCCTCGTGAGGGGGTTCCACGTGGATCTCCGCAGCCGCCACGGTGTCGACACGTGGCTTTTGTGCATGCATGGTCGGAGACGCAGTGGGGTAAAGCTTATGGTGTGATTGAAGTGTGCAGCTCGATTTGCGACCTTGGATCGGCGACGCAAGCGAGCGCGGGCGCAATCGGATATACCACACAGCCAAGAGGAAGGAAGCAGTCGGGAGACGTGGGGCAGGTGCTGCCCTCGGACATCGCCGGCAGCTTGAAATCCGAAGCAGATTGCGTGGAAATCGCAAGTCAGCACGACGATCGGGGCGCTGGAGACCTACGCGGAGCAAGGCAAGGCAGGCCAGGATGTACTAGGAGATACGGCGAACGGAGCCTGGGATACTAGGAGCACAGGACGGTACCCATCATCCATCTTCGCGCCCTCCCCCTCAAGTCGTTCCCCTCCCTGCCCTCCCCCCCCCGGCCCCCGGTACCCCCAAGCCAGTGAGCCACCAAAAGAAGCGGCAAGGAATCGAAAGTGTATCACAACCAACGAACAATCCCCTGACTAGCCCGCCCTTATCGCTCCCGCTAACACACAAGAAACACTGCACGAGGACACCCTACACCCGTCACCCCCAGCGCTCTCCAACCATGAGCACCCTAACAAACCAGGCCCACAGAAAACGAAGGGACTCGCGCTCCCTCATCTTCTACCAGGGGGCCATTAGGCACGACCCGAATAGACAATGGGCCGCGACCCCGTATGGAAGACCGGCGATCGGCCGCAGGATCCCCCCGGCCACACAGGGCCCCATCCGGGGCATGTTTCGAACAGATCAGCATCTGTGGCCAAGCCTCGCTGGGGCCCCGTGTGAGGGCAAACCATCATCTGCCCCCATAACCCTCCCGCCCCCACAAGACACCGAATCCACCCAGACAAACGAGTCTTCACCTCGGGACATGCTGAAAAGTGAGTCTCCACTGCATGGCCCCCGCGAACTGATGGGGGAGAGTTGTGCCACGGCGGAGGAGGGAAACGGCAAGGACGAGGCTATCGAGGAAGAAAGTGAGAGTGAAACGGAAGGGGAAGATGATGGGACAGGTGACGAGGAGATGTTAACCGAAGAAGAAATGATCCTGGAAAAAAGTAAACAAAAACAAAACGAGGGAGCGGGTCAAGTCAGACAAAAAGGCGAGTCGAAGCCCACTTGGGCCCAACGTGTCAGAACTACAATTCACGAAAAATCCCTCGATATTCGACGGAATGCACATGACACACAACAAGGGAAAGAGGAGACCCTGAAAGTCCCCCTTCGAAACCTCTCATCGGCAAGCGCATATTTCTTGACCCTCTTCCGTCTGCCCTCGCAGAACCATGTGGTGGATCAGGGGGGGAGAAAAACAATGATGAAGGCATACCCCCCCGACAAACTGGAGGCCAGAGACAGAACATATAACCAACACGCGAGTAACTGGCTTTTTCTAGGAGACGTGGCCCACAAATCAATAAACGACAAAATCAAATGGATTCACAAGCGGCTGGAGGAAATGAAAGGTAACCCCGATGCCGTCCCATAATTTTTCCTAATTCAGCCGCTCTCCTCTACGGTCCTCACGGTGCTGAGTCTCTTTACAGAGGACAAACAAACGATGGATGGATGGAAGTCAATTAAGTGGGAATGCTCAGAGGTGCAAATTTTTTCGTGGCAGCCCAAAAAAGTGACCACCCTACCGAATGGGAGCAAGGGTCTTCCAGATACACACGGCCCATAAGTTCCGGCCGTGGTGCTTCAAATGCAGGGCATATGGGCACCTGAGCACTGGATCCGCCTGCCCTCATCACCCTAATAATAGGAGCTTTACAACAGGTCGACTTCGGCAGGACCCATGCAGGCCGAACAGATGGTATGTGACCGACAAGGGCCACGAAGGATGGGGATTCTTGGAGGATCGGGACCCGGCGGGCCAGGCAAAGGGCTGGACATGGAGGGGAGAGGAGCCCCTTGCTGGGCCACTAGGCCCCCCAATGATTGGTCCCCGCCCCGACTTGAAAACGCCCGGCGCCCTGATAGGAGTACAGAACCTGGACACCAGATCCCCAAGCCACCCACTCCGCAGGGTGAAGAGAGGCACACAAAAAAGCAGACCCAACAAACCCAGGAAAAACAAAATCGTAAAACCTGGGGACCGTCACCAAAACGGTATCTACCGATTGAGAAGAAAACAGCAGATGCAAGAAAGGAGGATGGAAGTCTGCAGTCCGTGCCCTCATCCCCCGAGAAACCCGCCCTTGCAGGAAACGCAGATGGGCAACCGAAACAACCGCACTCGGAGGCCTCATCATCAGAGCCTGCACAACAGACACAAAACAACACAACACCTCTAAGAGCCGGAATTGATGACACTTGTAAAAATGACGACACTTGTAAATCGGATGAGGCCAACCTGTTAAAAGATGCTTTTGGCCCTGCGCCGATGGAGATTGAAATTATCCCCGGAGCCCCCCCCCCACCGGAGGTCGAAATGACTGACGCCCGAGAGGAGGACTCACCACAGTCGGCACTAGAGGCACAAACAGACACACAAGAACCCAGCAATGCACGCGGGATGGCCCTGCAGGACATGGCAGATTGGTTGATGGGAAACCTCCGCTTGAAGTTTGGAAATCAAAACGAGGACGTTTGGGACACGGTATACAGAGATTTTGTATCTCTACTCGAAAGCAGTCCGAGTCTTCACACAGCCCTGACCCAGGGTCTGCCAAAAGGGTCAAGCTCGCCTCAAATCTGTCACAAACTCTTAAGCATCGTTCTTACTCGGTTCCGCCCTCCCCCCACCACAGACCCAGGCAAGGACGGCCCCCGAGATGAAGCGGCTCAAAACGACGCACCACAGGGCGACGGGCGGGACCATACAACAGCAGCACATAAGACAGACATTCAGGACTCCCAGGGTGGTGCACAGCGAGAAAGCCAAACACACTCCTGCAGTGGAAAGGGGGCAGAGGACGACGCACCACAAGG